CCTTGCCCTCTGAAGCTTCCTTCCATTTACTCTGTATGCTTCATGTGCACACTGAAATACATCTATATCTATATCTATATCTATATCTATATCTATATCTATATCTATATCTATATCTATATCTATATCTATATCTATATCTATATCTATATCTATATCTATATCTATATCTATACCTATACCTATACCTATACCTATACCTATATCTATACCTATATCTATATCTATATCTATATCTATATCTATATCTATATCTATATCTATATCTATATCTATATCTATATCTATATCTATATCTATACCTATACCTGTATCTATATCTATATCTATATCTATATCTATATCTATATCTATATCTATATCTATACCTATACCTATATCTATATCTATATCTATATCTATATCTATATCTATATCTATATCTATATCTATACCTATACCTATACCTATACCTATACCTATACCTGTATCTATATCTATATCATCTATATCTATATCTATATCTATATCTATATCTATATCTATATCTATATCTATATCTATATCTATATCTATATCTATCTATATATCTATATCTATACCTATACCTATACCTATACCTATACCTATACCTATACCTATACCTATATCTATATCTATATCTATATCTATATCTATATCTATATCTATATCTATATCTATATCTATATCTATATCTATATCTATATCTATATCTATACCTATATCTATATCTATACCTATACCTATACCTATACCTATACCTATACCTATACCTATACCTATATCTATATCTATATCTATATCTATATCTATATCTATATCTATATCTATATCTATATCTATATCTATATCTATATCTATATCTATATATATATCTATATCTATATATATATCTATATCTATATCTATATCTATACCTATACCTGTATCTATATCTATATCATCTATATCTATATCTATATCTATATCTATATCTATATCTATATCTATATCTATATCTATATCTATATCTATATCTATATCTATATCTATATCTATATCTATACCTATACCTATACCTATACCTATACCTATACCTATACCTATACCTATACCTATACCTATATCTATACCTATACCTATATCTATATCTATATCTATATCTATATCTATATCTATATCTATATCTATATCTATATCTATATCTATATCTATATCTATATCTATATCTATATCTATATCTATATCTATATCTATATCTATAGCTATATCTATATCTATAGCTATATCTATAGCTATAGCTATAGCTATATCTATATCTATATCTATATCTATATCTATATCTATATCTATATCTATATCTATATCTATACCTATACCTATACCTATACCTCTATCTCTATCTCTATCTCTATCTCTATCTCTATCTCTATCTCTATCTCTATCTCTATCTCTAAAATATTTGATAGAATATGTACTAAGACATGTAATATATGATATGATATGATATAATGTTACATTATGTTATGTTATGTTATGTTATGTTATGTTATGTTATGTTATGTTATGTTATGTTATGTTGTTATGCTATGTTATGTTATTGTCTCTTCCATTAAAATTTATGATCCTTGAAGGTAGGGGTTGTTTCTGCCTCTTTGAATTCACAGAGCATAGCACAGCACATACTAAATACTTAATAGATGGCTTCTAAGGTCTCAAGATCTAAGTCTATCATTCTGTGATTCTGTTTCCCAATCACAAAACTTAATACAGATAAACTTAGTGTTCTCCATTTGGGTTTTACAAAATTAATGTAAGTGTAAGAGTGGGAAGGCATGGTTCAGATCAGTTTGTGTGAACAAAGAACATCTAGGCGTTTTAAGGGGACCACCAGCTCAATATGATGTAGCAGTTCAATATGGAGACCAAAAACTAATATGATACTGGGTTACAGATGAAGAAACTGAGGCCAAGAGTGGTTAAGTGAGTCACCTGGGGGTCACATAGCTAGTAAGTGTGAAATGTGGGATTTGAATTCAGGTCTTCTTGACTTACACTCAAATGCAAGGACAATCTTGGCATTCCATCTGGATAAATGGTAGCCAGGGATGTGGGCTAAACATTGAAGGAGATAGGTTGAAGGGAGATGGAGACCCCACTTTGTTGTAAGTTCTGCCCCACTTCAATGAAGGAAGGACAGTCATCCTTTTGACATATTTGCTTGGAAATCCAGAATTTAAACACGGGCCCTTGTCGACAAATGGAGAGACTCACTGTGCTGTTCTCTTAGGCTTTGAGTGAGGACAGTAACCAGAGAGGGAAGGGCCTGGGGTAGAGACAAGAAAGACTAATGGGTAGGGACATTCATGTACCAACCCCTCTTGCTGTCTGTCTCTCTGAAGGGAGCTTAGCCCTGACAGGAATGGAGCGTCAAGAGAGGAAGCATGAATGAACCAGTTTGTGACCTGGCAGCAAGAGAGGTATCTCAGAAAAGGTCACTAGACTTAGACAGAGGACACATGACATGCCTCTTTGTAGCTAGAAGCAGGAAATAAAGTTCTCAAGGTCAGATTTGTGAGGATGGGATGGGGAAGAGGTAAGCTGGCCATCAGAATAAGGGAGAGGTTCTTTCCATGTCTGGCCCACCTTTGCCGTGTACCCCTCAACATGACAAGCAATGAAGTACTCTTAGGAGAAGTGTTCCAAGGACCCTGAAAGAAAAAAAAAAACATTAACAACACTCAAAAGAGTTTCTGTTTCTTTCAACTCCACCACAAATATTGATATTATTATTATTGTTGTTGTTATTGGACTTCTTTCAAGTCCAAAATAAATGTTTGATGAATGAATGAATGAAACCTAAACTCCTTAGCACATCATTCAAGGCTCTCTACAATTTGATTTAAAACCTAATGTCTGTCCCCAAATTTCCCCATCAAAAATGTTCCACTCCCCTGTGTACATTCTCTCCACTAGACCTTTGCTCATACCACTTCTGTCATCTCCGATGCCCTCCTGTGCATTCTCTGACTATTTGAATCCTTCCTGTCCTTTAAGGCCTAGCTTCAGCCCCATCTCTTTCCTCCGTGATACTAGACCACTCCAGTCCACACCAGCCTCCCCTTGCCATAAATCACCATAACACTTAATGTCTATCTCATCCCCTTAGCACTTTTCATGGGATCAGACAATTTAGAGCTGAAATAGACCCTGGTGACCATCTGGTTCTCATTTTACACATAAGGAAACTGAGGCCCAGGGAGATGTGTTTAGTGGCTCTCTACTCTTCCCTGTTCATACTGTATTTGGAGGACTGTGTTCCAATCTGGGTGCTATGGTTTAGAAAGTGCAATGATAACTGAAGTATGACCCAAGGAGGACAACAAGAACAGTGAAGAGCATTGAGTCTATGACAAACGAAGATGAATTGAAAGAACTGTCGTTGTTTAAGCTGGAAAAGACTAAAGGAGGTGGGGGGAAGGAAATAATGACTTTTGTTGTTTATTTTTTGGAGGCAGTTGGGGTGAAGTGACTTGTCCAGGGTCACACAGCTAGTAAGCGTCTGAGGTTTGATTTGAACTCAGGTCCCTGTGACACCAGGACCAGTGCTCTGTGCACCATGACGCCACTTAGCTGCCACGAATGACAACTTTTTTGCAGGCTGTTTCCCTTTGTAAAACGGCGGCTCCTGAAGAAAAGGACCAAGTTTCTGCCTTTGTTAGTATCCTAGTGCTTAGCACATTATGCAGCAAGCATACAGTAAGTGCTCAATAAATGTTTGTTACTGACTGACTGTCGTATAGAAAAAAGGATTAGATTTGCTCTGCTAGGTCCCAGAGGGCAAAACCAGAAGCAATAGGGGAAATTGTAAAGAGGGAAATTTAGACACACTGTCTGGAAATATTTCCTAACGATGACTTTTCCAAAAGTTTAATAGGCTACCTCCTCCTAAGTGGAGGCTGGCAGACAGAGTCCAGTTGTCCACTTGTTGGATTTTTTTTTCTGGTATGTGTTGAACCAGATGGCCATTGAAGACCCTTCCAATTCTAAAACTTCCATCCTTTTGTGAAGTGACCGCCCCGACATCTTTCCATGCCCTAAAAAGGTCTGAATTGTCTTCCTGGTGCTTTTAATTACTTTCTTATTTTAAATGTTTTTTCTTATTCTCACTCCTCAGAGCATTATGTTCCAATGGTTCCCATTTCTGGGGTCTTTTCTGGTGACAAAGCTCTATGCTCTTTATCTGATTGGATCATCCCTATGACTTTACAAGTCCAGTTGTGAAAGCAAGACTGGTATCACTTCTCTATTGCAGATGAGGAAACTGAGCCTGAGATAGATTAAAAGGATTGTCCAAGGTCAGTCACACAGCCAGGTTCCATCTGTGTTAAGACTCTGCCTTTACCACTTACTAGCTATGTGACCTTGGGGGAATGACTTTATTTCCCCAAGCTTGGACTCTGTAAAATGAGGGGGTGGACTTGGGGTCACAGTAACTAACATTTATCTTGTACTTCAAAGGCTTTACCCACAATTACCTCATTTGATTCTCTTCCCTTCAGTCATTTTTAGTCAAGACCAACTCTTCATACGACCCCATTTGGGGTTTTCTTGGCAAAAATACTGGAGGGATTTCCTATTTCCTTCTCCAGCTTATTTTACATCAGAGGAAACTGAGACAAACAGGGTTAAGTGACTTACCCAGGATCATACAGCTAGTAAGTGTCTGAGGCAGGATTTGAACTCACAAAGATGGGTCTTCCTGATTTTAAGTCCAACACTTGATCCACTTTACCACCTAGAATTTACTCTCACAACAACGCTATTGGTGAGTACTATTGGTAGGTGGGGGATATTATTATCCCCATCTTACTGATAAAGAAACTAAGACTGAGAGAGGTTAAAGGTCACACAGTTAATTAAGTATCTGAAGTAGGATTTGAACTCAGGTATTTCTTACTCCAAGTCCAGAGTTGGAAGGGATCTCAGAAGCCGTTTTGTCCATTTCATTTATTTTACAGATGAGGAAACAGAGACCCAAGGAAGTTCAGTGATAGCACAGTACGTGGCACAAAGTAAGTAAGTGCTTAATAAATATTTGTTGACTGACTTACACTGGCAGGATTTGACCCCAGGAACTTGATGACTGCCATCTTTTCTTCTAACTCCAGGAATGATGATGATAATGATGATGATGATGATGATGATGATGGTGATAATGACAGGGAAGGCAAATACCACTAACTTATTGACTTTGGGCTGACCCAGTGCTGGTGACTTGAACTGGAGAGGTTGTTTGGTGAAGACTGTAACTAGCTGTCTGGTGAATGGCAACTCTTTGGAGAGGAATAAAGGAGAGAGAGCAGAACTAATATTGGTCCAGCTCGAGTAAAATGGAATACCATTCAGCTCACTCTTAATTCAAAACAGCTGTCGACTGGCCTCGGCTTCTGATATAGCAGGCGGAATTCTTGGACACTGAGTTATTCTTAGAAGTATGTGCACAGACACTGGCAAGGTCTGCGGTAGACTGGTTCTTGCCAATCCCCTGTCAGGCCCCTGGGCCAGCAGATCCAAGAGCTATTGTTCTAACTTATGAAAAATAACTCAGAGTTTTTATTTTCAAATTACCAGCATGGCAGGGAAAGGGGGCGGCTGGGGGGGGGGCGGGGGAAGGATGTAGAAATTAAGCCTGTTTGCCTCCTTTTCCAGTTAACATAAGATCAGTGCTAGAAGGGGTCTTAGCAAGCATTGAGTTTAATTGGTTTAGTTTATTTGTGAATAGCTGTTTGCTTCTTATCTCCCCAGTTAGACTGTAAGTGTCTTGAGAATAGGAAGTACCTTTTGCCTTTTTTTTTTAAATCTCCAGCACTTGGTGCACTTTCTGGCGCTTAATAAATGGTTATTGACTGATTGACTCATTTTACAGAGAAGGAAACTAAGAGGGGATGTGATAGAATGTAAACTCTTTGAGGACAGGGACTATTTTGTTTTTGACTGTTTCTCCAACACCCAGCACTACCTGGTACAGAGTAAATCCTTAACAAAAACCTTGTTAGAATAGAAGCTCCATGAGGGCAGGCAGTATTTCATTTTTGTTTTTATCTAACCAGTGTTTAGCACATAGCAGGTGCTTAATAAATGTTTGTTGGAGGAAGGAAGAAGGGAGAGAATAAGGAAAGAAAGAGGGAGGGAAGGAGGAAGGAAGAAGGAAGTAAGAAAGGAGGAAAGAAGGAAGGACAGAAGGAAGGAAGGAGGGAGGAAGGAAGGAAGAAGGGAGGAAGAAAGAAAGGAGGAAAGAAGGAAGGAAAGAAGGAAGGAAGGAGGGAGGAAGGAAGGAAGAAGGGAGGAAGAAAGAAAGGAGGAAAGAAGGAAGGACAGAAGGAAAGAAGGAAAGAAGGAAGGAAGGAAGGGAGGAAGGAAGAAAGGAAAGAAGGAAGGAAGGAGGAATGGAGGGAGGAAGGAAGAAAGAAAGGAGGAAAGAAGGAAGGACAGAAGGAAGGAAGGAAGGATAATTTCAATAGAATGTAAACTTCTTGAGGGCAGGCACTATTTCATTTTTGTCTTTGTCCACTCAGTGCCTATCACAGTGCCTGGCATGTAGTAGGTGCTTCATAAATGCTTGCTGAATAAACGAAGGAAAGAAGGAAAGAAAGAATGGTAACCTAAATGGAACATAAGCTTCTTGAGGGCAGACACTATTTGCTTTTTATCTTTGTCTTTGTTGTTCAGTCATTTTTCAGTCGCAGCTGACTCTTTGTGACCCCATCTGGGGTTTTCTTGGCAAAGACACTTGGAGTGGTTTGCCATTTCCTTCTCCATCTCATTTCACAGATGAAGAGACTGAGGCAGCCTTTGTCTACCCAGTACCTGTCACAGTGTTTGGCACACAGCAGGCACTCAGTAAATGCTTATTGATTGGTTGATGTCCAAAGTCAGGCAGAATCTTGATCCCAACCCACATCCTGTCTCCAAATCCAATGCTCTTGCATGAGAACATGGCGCCTCTGAATTAGAGTGGTTGATAGAAGAGTGTCTGTTCTAGCTACTAAACGAGGGAGTCAGAGAACCTCAGAGTTGGAAGGAACCATGCTAGCGAGTAGCCAGCCAGTCCGATTTATCAGGAATCTCCGCTGCAACACATGTGATGAGTGGGTGTCAAGCCAATGCTTGAATTCATTCACTGACCGGAAGAAAGAGGCAGCCCATTATACGTGTGGGCTGCTCTTATCATCTGGGAATTTTCATCATCCATTGACCCTAAATCTGTCTTTGAAGCACACTGAGGTGGGTTCTGCCTCCTGGGACCAAGCAGAATAAGTCACATCCCCCTTTCACATCACAGACACTGAGCATGTTTCTCCCTGAAGCCTTCTGGGTTTGCTGGAGAACTGTCCTTGTTTGGGGCAGCTCCTCATGACCAGACCAAAAGAAATGATAGATGTGAGACAATTTATTAGCGATGAAGAGAGTTGTGACGTCCCTCATTTTACAAATGGAGAAAATAAGGCTGAGGGAGGTGGAAGGTCACAAAGCTGATCTGTGATGGCGCCAGGTTTTCTGATCCTTAGTTCAAGCTTCTTTCCTCTCCTCTATCCTGCATACCGCCCAAAGTCCCAGTTGCCGTGTTGTTATAAAATTCTATATTCAACTGAAGAGGTCTTCTCTCTCTCTTCTTCCCTTCAAAGATCTACTCGATCATTGTTGCCAGTAAACATATAAGTAAGTGGAAGGCACATTTTGAATAGGATTTGGTAGAAGGCTCAAGCATCGCAAAAACTTCAGGGGCTGCCAACTGATGAAAATCCAAACTCCTTAACTCGCCATTTGAGGCCCTCTGAGATTTGGCTCCAACCTGTCTTTCTGGACTTATCTCCTCATGTGTTCCATATTCCAAATCCTTGCCCCTCAAATATGCCTCGCCTTGGTATCCTTACTCAAGCTATTGCCTCAGCCTGGATTGTCTTCTCATCTACCTTTAACTGTTAACCTCCCACCCTTTCTGTAGTAGTCTGATTCACATGCTACCTCCTCATTCATTTCAGAATCAATTTAATTCAATTTGATCCAACCCAATTCCGTTTGACTAAATCCAAGAAGCATTTATTAAGCACCTGTTGTATACAAGGCAATGGGGATACAATGACATCACCTTCCCTTGTCTCTGCCCCTTAAGCTAGAAATGATCCTGGGATCATATCTGTAGAGCTAGAGGGAATCATTCATTTTGTAGCTGAATGAATTAGACCTACAACATTGTAGATTTAGGGGTGAAAGGCATCTAATTGACGATTTGGTCACAGGAGGATTGATTTAAAGACAGAACAGATCCTAGAGATCACCTCATCCAACCCCCTCACTTACAAAGGAAGAAACTGAGGTCCACAGAAGTTCATACAGTCAATCAATCCAAAAGCATTTATTAAGCTCCTACTGTGTGCCAGGTACCATGCTGGCATCTCAGAGTTAGAGCTGAAAGGGGTTTTGAAGGTCATCTAGGCCAACCCCTTCATTATTTCACTCGTTCTTGCCCTGGACTGCTAATAAGCCCTTGTCTGTGGTGTCTGGGGCTGCATGTGCTGGTGCACTGACGTCATGAGACGTGCTGAGGCCCAGGCTTCATGCTGACGGTCTGACACTGCCGCGCTCAAGCAACCACACATTCTTAGACGGTTTATGTCATGGAAACAAAAGGGGGAGTGGACCAGTTGACTTTTCCTGAACACACAGCAAAGAAAGCAGCAAAGAGAACGTGCAGTTAGGAGGGAATTGGGAGGTTGGGAAGAAGGCTTATTTATCTATCCATCCATTCATCTGTTCATTCTTTCATTTGTTTATTTTTCTATCTCTCCATTTGTTTATTCATTCATTCATTCACTCACTTATTCATCCATTTATCTATTCACTTATTCATTTGTTTATTTGTTTGTTAATTTGGAGTCCCTTCAAGTTCCAAGTTCCTTAGTGATTCTAGAATTGAGGAATTTTGCAAATCCCTACCATCCTCAAGCATCCATTAAATGACACTGTGCAAAGCTTTCCCATGTTGACAGGTACACAGGATAATAACTGACCTCACTCTCTCTCTCCCTCCCTCTCCCTCTCCCTCCCTTTCCCTCTCCCTCTGTCTCTCCCTCTCTGTCTCTCTGTCCCTCCCTCTCTCTCTCTTTCTCCCTCTCTCCCTCTCCTTCTCCCTCTCCCTCTCCGTCTCCCTTCCCCCCTCCTCCTTTCTTCCCCTTGTTCTGCTCTCCTTCATTTTTTTCTCTCTCTCTCTCCCTTCTATTCTTCCTTCCTTTGATTCTTTCATCTTTACCTCCTTCACCTCCCCCTTTCTTTCTTGGTCAGGGTGATGGCGTGGGATGGGGAGGGGTTGAAGGGTTGGGACTAATCCTAAGCCACAGAGCTGCCAGTTCAGGAGAAGTTGCTACAGCTCTTTGTCCCTCTTATCTCTTCTTTCCGTTTTCCTTGGCTATAAAGACACATACACTGACATCTCTCTCCCACATTCTTCAACATTGGACTATTTCCAACCAGAAATGCTGGGGGAAATTCCCATCATGCCAAGGCACTAGGTGGTCTGCATTGGGTAGAATGAGCTGGGCTGGCAGAATTTTTAAGAAATCAGCTCAGAAAGTCAAGATTCAATTCAAGGACCTTTTTAGTCACATAAGAGTCAATTGAACTGAACATCTAATGTGTTCCAGTCACTGTACCAGGTGCTCCATAGAAACTGACAAAAATGACAAAAATGACCCATTCCCTGCCCTCCAGGAATGTACATCCTACCATAGGAAAGTCAAGCATTGATAAAGAAGTCAATGGAAGATGTGCTCAGATGGAGCCAAGATTTCATAGAGTTCCATGTTCCTTGCAGTGATAGAGGTAGCAATGTATCTAAGTCTGTTTATCCTGTGTGACTCTTGAACATACTTTAATAAGTTTACCATAAGGGATATGCTAAAGCTAAATGTTCTTACTCTCTCTCCCTCTCCCTCCCTCCCTCCCTCCCTCTCTTCTCTCTCTCTCTCTCTCTCTCTCTCTCTCTCTCTCTCTCTCTCTCTCTCTTTCTCTCTCT